AATTGACCTTGTGAGATGTCTGTGTGGTGGATGGCGATGCGTTTCACGCAGTTGTTATGCGCTTTTTTTGATTAATTGTTGCTGATACATCTCGTTAGCAAGTGAGCCACTGGCTCATAGCCGATTTTATCTTGTTGCTTAACTTCCGTTCATATTTTTTTTCGATTGCGCGCGATTATCGTGGTGTGTGCTTTTAGGTGACACGGGAACAGTATCAAATCTATTGTGAAATGGGCACCACGTTTGAGATGTGCAAAATTTGCGCGGAAAATAACAAGAATGTGAAACTGGAACCATGCGGCCATTTGCTATGCACACCGTGCTTACAGAGCTGGCAGGTTTGAGCTTTTTTTACTTCTATTTTGTAATCATTGTTGCGCGGTTTATCGATGTATTACTAAGATGCGACCCTTCGAACCGCTTCTTTAAAACTGCCAGTGTTAGTGAGACGGGACACTCACTCAGACTCTCTGTCTAGAATCTACGATACTTTTGAGCTGTAGTTTTTTTTTTTTTTATTTTAGCCCTTCTTTATTACTTTCTATTTTTTATACGGCATAATTAATTAATTTTGTTGAAAATGATAAACCTTTCGGTGATGCTACTATCCTTGCGACATTTATAGAAATCGTTTGCATGCGCAAGAAAAAAACGAGCGAAATTGAAAGGGATGTTTGGAGCAGGTGTTTACTGATAGTCTGATCCTTCAGCTCTGATTTAACTGCTGTTCTAAATATTCTGGATGTACGCGATCACCTGGCTTTACAGCCGACCGGCATTTTTGATTTTAGTAAGCTATTTAGCTGGTTAATTTCGATTGGATGGAGCTTAGGCCATCCACAGAAACTACTTTTTCCGACAGGAGTTGGCGGAGGTGTAAAGCAAAGCAGCAGTTGTTCCTTGAAAGCTTTTACCAGCTCAGCTTTGATGCGGGTTTGGAGCTAAGTGAAAGAAAAAAAGGAACAAAGGATAGCTTGTTTTTTTTATTAACGCAGCATCGACTGTTAATGTGGCAATCTTTACTTACATTGTGTTACCGGTTCTGTTGTGCCGAAGTGAAAAATGAAATATTGCGTTTGATGACGGGAAAAAATTAGCGGTAACTCACTCAACGAGCCGTGGAACGACGCATGGCGCATGTTAGTAAGTCGCGGTACATTTCTAGTGAATTACAACGACTTCGGTCTGTTATCAAAGCAGTGTACGTCTGAAAGAAGAACTGGGTTGGTCATGTGGCAAGAGTGAGAAAGCAGATTGACAAAGCGGATTGAGAAATGGCACCTGTGCTATATTAAAAGATATCACTAAGAAGGGAAAGATCCCTTGAAAGCCTAAATAGGAAAGAAGGGGGAAGTTGCTGAGTGCATCAGTGGCAAAAAGAAACAACACGACGCAACGGCAGCCGACCAAAATATCTAAATAATTATCAATGTACAGGCAGCAGATATTGATCGAGCGATCATCAGAGGGGTGTTGCACCAACGTGACACGGACGGCGGC